GTGTGTGTAATAATAATAATAATAATAATAATAATTAACGGTTTATTGAAAGAGCATGGCAGCCGGAATGCTGAAAATGTACAGTTACATAATTGGGGAATGGGTCTCTTGATTTATAAATAATATACAAGTAACATAAGTGATACAAATATGATATATAATAACAAGGTGGGGAGAAGCTCAAACTACAGGGCATTTCAACATACAGTAGTGACAGTGCAAAAAGTAAGAGTGACTGGGAAAGAATACATTGGTTGATTACAGGTTATTGGTAATATTTACAATGGTTGGGACTGGGCTGTTCTTATAGCGATCTTATAGTGTGTGTGTGTGTGTGTGTGTGTGTGTGTGTGTGTGTGTGTGCGCGCGCGTGTGTGTGTGCGCGCGTGTGTGTGTTGTTACGACCGTGTCGTATTTTTTATATTTTTTTTTATATATAACATGCTCCCATGTTCCATATTATTCCTGTAATGATGTGTTAAATTTACTATTATATATTCTAGTCACCTTACCCTGTGCTGTTAAGGTTTTACTGTCATTATTTGTTCAAGCCCATCTTATTTCTTCATTTTGTATTGTAACCAGCATTCTTTGTTCTCTAACGACCATCTGCATCGTTAAACGACCCACCGGCGGGTCGCGTGGCGGGAGCCGACCTTATATATAGGACCCACCAACTGACTTGAGTTAGTTCAGTTCTCCTGTCATACAGTTCACATCCTTTGAGTGACACTCGTCACCTGTGACTTATACTTAATTTATTTGTGTTGTTCCTGTCGCCACCAATGTGGTATATCTATGTGAGTACCTATTTATGTCTCTGTTTGTGTCCATCAGTATTTACTTAGTTGTATTCAAGTAATTCAGTGTTGTTTCACGTTAGTTAATTTCAGTGATAGTTTTTATATGTTTATGCAGTGTTAACGTAATCCAATGCTTTAATTTTATTCTTTTGATGTTTCGATGTTTTGTATCACTTGTGTCTTAAAAGTTTCGATGGTGAATCAATTTGTTGTGACAGCCTACGAGGCTCTTTATTGTGTTAATATTTAATCAATTAAATTCTTAAAGGTTTACTTTATTTATTTTTATTCTCTTTTAATTTACTTCACTTTTTGTTTCGTTACGCCTAGAACCTGGATATTTAAGTAAATTAAGAGACGGCGTGTGTGTGTGTGTGCGCACGCGCGTGGGTGTATGTGAGTGCGTGGGTGCGTGCGTGGGTGTGTGTGTGTGTGGGTGTTTGTGCGTGGGTGTATGCACGTGGGTGTGGGTGTGTGTGCGCGGGTGTGTGGGCGGGTGTGTGTGTGTGTGTGGGTGGGTGGGTGTATGATATAAGGGTGTAGGAATAATACCACGTAAAAAAAAAGAAAGATAATTGAGAAATTCATAAAAGTTACCAAGAACACTGAGGAAGGTATTTTGAGAAGACCTTTTTGTTAGGATATATACCTTTTGATCTTGACATTTTGGTGAGTTAGTTAGAGGAGAGACTTGAAGGGGTCAGCCGCCTATTAACTTGTTACCAGAGATTTTTCTTGTCTAAATGAATAGTCTTTCTACGCCGTAAAAGACCTCCACTTTGATTATATAATTCAAGGTGTCAAATAAAGTATATCTGGCTATTTAATTATGCACCTTCAAGCGGTGAGTCCCACATGCGGGAGATCATTCTGGGCCAACGAGTGTGTGTGTGTACATGATTACAATAACACACACACACACGCGCGCGCGCGCGCGACTCACCAACCATGAACCTTATATATGGGGCGAGAAAGAGGTCCCGCCCACCTGTAACTATGAGAGGGTGAGACAGGTGACAGAAGAGGTTATTACGCGCCTCGGGGGAGCTGGAGGAAGAGAGGAAGAAGGTAGAGGTGGAGGTAGAGGTTGGAGAGGAGGAGGAGAGGGGGAGAGGTATAGAGGAGAAAGAGGCAAGTGGAGGAGATAGAAGGGAGAAGGAGGTAAAGGAGGAGGAGGAGGTATACGGAAGAGGTAGGAGGAGGAAAATTGGAAGTCTGGTTGAGTTTTTGTTTGTTAATTGTTTAGGATGATTCTTTGTCATTATTAGAGAGGGTGGGGGGCGGGTAGAGTGAGGTGAACAGAAACTAAAATAGTTTGATAAATAGAAAGATGAACACACACACACACACACACACACCTACACACACACACACACACACACACACCTACACACACACACACACACACACACACCTACACACACACACACCTACACACACACACACACACACACACACACACACACCTACACACACACACACACACACACACCTACACACACACACACACACACACACACACACACACACACACACACACACACCTACACACACACACACACACCTACACACACACACACACACACACACACACACCTACACACACACACACACACACACACACACACACCTACACACACACACACACACACACACACACAAGGTCACCCCTCCCTTCTATTGGTATAACTTATTTACTATTTAATTCAATAACAGTGACTGAGGTTCTCCACTGTCACGCCTCTGTGTATGCCAGGCTGTATGACAGGTGCATGACAGGTGACCTCTTTCTGTCCTCCCACACAGTATTAGGAAGGTCATCTGGGGGTTTTCACGTGAGAATTTATAATTATTTTATAAGGGTTCATTTTAGGGATTATTTTAGGAAACTTTTCAGGGGTTATGGTCATTTTAAGGATATTTGGATGATTATTTTAGGAATAATTCAGGGAACATTTTGGGGATTAATATTAAAATTCAACGTAGAAGTTGTTTTAGGGGATCATTTTATTACGGTCCCATAAACACCCAACACACACACTACACCTCCCACACACACTACACCTCCCACACACACTACACCTCCCACACACACTACACCACCCACACACACACTACACCTCCCACACACACATCACACCCCAGCACTCACACAGACAGTAGGATCAACATAACACCCACATTACACCCTGAACCTAATTAGTCGTGTAAGGGAAGTGTACTCAACCATGTGTAAAACTAAAAGGTGATTGAATTACACTAACTTCATTAAAAAACAACAAACACACAGTCAGCCCCAAATATTTAGGATGTTGCTTTGAAATATCTCACTGTAACTATCTCTCTGTAGCTATCTCTCTGTAACTATCTCTCAGGGCCTATCTCTCTGTAACTATCTCTCTGTAACTATCTCTCTGTAACTATCTCTCAGGGCCTATCTCTCTGTTACTATCTCTCTGAAAACTTTCTCTCTGTAACTATCTCTCAGGGTCTATCTCTCTGTAACTATCTCTCAGGGCCTGTCAATATGTAACTATTTCTCTGAAACTATCTCTCAGGGCCTGTCTCTCTACACATATCTTTCAGGGACTATCTCTCTGTAACTATCTCTCAGGGCCTATATCTATGGAACTATCTCTCAGGGCCTGTCAATATGTAACTATCTCCCTAGGCCTGTCTCTCTACACATATCTTTCAGGGCCTATCTCTCTGCAACTATCTCTCAGGGCCTATCTCTCTGTAACTATCTCCCTAGGCCTGTCTCTCTACATATATCTTTCAGGGCCTATCTCTCTGTAACTATCTCTCAGGGCCTATATCTATGGAACCATCTCTCAGGTGCCTGTCAATATGTAACTATCTCTCTGCAACTATCTCTCAGGGCCTATCTCTCTGTAACTATCTCCCTAGGCCTGTCACTCTACACACATCTTTCAGGGACTATCTCTCTGCACGTGTCATTTAATAGATGGTAGTTTGAATTGTTCATTGTATTGTTGGGATGAAGATCGTCATTAATTTTGCCTCTCTCTCTCTCTCTCTCTCTCTCTCTCTCTCTCTCTCTCTCTCTAGACTGTACCACGCTTCACTTAACACTTTACAGAACAGTAAATCGTTCTACTCTACTCGGGCAACAAACAGTTTGTAAATTACAGTGGACAGTTGTGTGTCTGCAAATACAATACAATTCACGTTAAATATTTTACTCCTACTGTGTCTGTCCTCTGCTCTTGTGTGTTTGCCAGAACTAAACGTCACCTTCACTAGTGTACTTGATGAACACTTAGTACTCACGACAGATACTTAAGGCAGCGTTCGGTGGGTAAGAGTCGTCGGGGATATCACTTGAGTACATACTGTTCTCGGGTGTTTACCGCCTCACAATATAAAACCCTCTGACCAAGTTCACTGTACTAATGTCCTCATTGGCTAAAAAACAAGGTGTTGGCGAACTAGCAAACAACTGTGTCATCCCGTGATAATGGTCTGTAGTTTATGGCAGGTGGAGCAGCCAGACGTAAAAGGTGAAACGCATATGTGGCAGACAGGTGTGTTATGAATTCAGTGTGTGATATAGTGAATAAAAATTTCATATTTTCCCCCCACCTCCCTCCCTACACCACCCTTTGTCCATCTCCATTCCTTCCGCTTCCCTCCTTCTACCTCCCTCCTTCTACCTCCCTCCTTCTTATGAATGTTACACTCGTAGTTTCTTTTATATTACGTGTGTTAAGTTGGGAATGCGAGCTGCTATGTGTGGATATTTTAGGCTGCTGTTCTATCCATTAAGTTATATCACTCTTCTCTTACATTATTTGTAGGTTCAGTATCCATACCAAATAATGATGGGAAATGAATAAAGATAATAAACAGATGAACAGATAAACAGTTGATGAATAATACTTGTCTTATCTCATCATATCTCTTTGTGTATCTAATTTATCTTCCTTATCATCGTTCCTCTTTTTTCCTTGCTAGTTATTTAGGTCTTTATTTTTAATAGTCCATCTGTAGATTCCTTAACATTTCTTCACGTTTATTGTTTTATTAACTTGTATTCTTTCTTGTATACAGTTGATGTATTGTTCTCAAACCACTTAGCTATTAGGTTGTTGGGTCGGGTAGGGTCGGGTCGGGTTTGAGTTAGATTAAGTTAGGTTAAATATAAATAAAAGTCATCTTTATTTCCTACTTGCATTCCTTTATTAGTTAACTCTTTATCTATGCACAGTTGTTCCTAATTACAACAACAACAACACACTGGTCACCTCGTTGTGGTGGGAGTCAGGTAATGGCCAGGGCTCACCTCCTTACTGACTTACTTCTTAATTAATAATATAATATTTACGCATCCAAAAATAGTTAAAGAAGTTCATCATTGGTGTGTGTGTGTGTGTGTGTGTGTGTGTGTGTGTGTGTGTACGGTATATTATGATCACAACAGTTAGCCTACAAGGAAAGTCACAAGCTGTTCTTTTTTTTTTCCATATTTTTTCCTGTATTTCGCGTTTACTGTCGACATGATGGTAATACGGACATATACATGCAGTTGTCTGAACGTTATGTATCGTGACCAGAACAACAGGTTACAAGAGAAAATACAGACTATAATTGTTTCGTACCTTTACCTCCATATTGTAACAAGATTAATAAAGTTTATTGAATACATTAATATGAAACACACACACATATACACCTGACCGAGTCCTCATCTAAACAGTTGTATTAGTATTATAATGGGGACAGTGTATATATTAATGGTGTATGACATCCTTCATTTAGTGATTATAGAAGGAATATACACACAGTATTGTTCACTAATTGTGTACAGTAATTTAATGAGTTATTTAGTCTCATTCATTTAAGAAAATATACATGTTAATCTTCCATTAATGTAGGTGATATTAACATAGTGTTATTACTGAAGGATAGTTAACTATCATGATGGTACAGTGTCTCTTACTGTACTCTAGTGTATTGATGATTAATTACAGCTGTACCATATATGGTGTGCCTTTCAATAGTCTTTATATAGCATATAATCTATATTATATACCTTTCCTACAGGGCTCCATGTAGGCAGGTTATTTTAGTATATATATATATAGTTACTGGTGATCTTGCCGAGGTGAGACATACAAGGTTAAGTGAGGAGAGTGGGAGGCCACATTCAGTGAGAGAGAGGTGGGCGGCCTTACTACACCACGTTATGAACACAGACAGGAGGGAGAAACATCAACTTTCAAAAGTATTATTTATATATTAATTATTAAAAATTGAAGAGGAGAGAAACCATAAAGTGTGTAAAGTTCATGACGAAATATTCGGGTAATAGTAAGTTGATGACTCTTCAGTACAAGATGATACTGTGACACATATCTTCTCGTAGTGACAACCTTCCTCGGTTTTTCTTATGGATTGAGAAGTCGTGAAAATAAGATTCTTGAAAGAGGTCATTACTAACACAACAAACTAATAACAATCATCACTGGTCAGGTCACGAGGTGTCATGAGCATTATTGTTGACAACCATTCCTTACCAAGTCATGACAGTCATTGGGTACGTCTAAAAATAGTATTTTTGTTCGGTGTGGGGTCTAATGGACCCCAGTCCAAACAGTGACCCAACCCCCAGGGGTTATGCAAGATTAAGTTAGCTTAGGTTAAGTTAGCTTAAGGTGGAAGCTATTTGGGCCACGGTCTATTTGACCTCCAACCAGTTTTATAGGAATTGTGAGAGCAGCATCTACACACCCCGAGTTAGACCCGCCGAGGATCACCCCTCGTCTTGCTTTCTTGTGTAGGCGTGAAAGAGAGAGTACAGTAGCCACAGGATCAAAGCTTTACGGTTTTTGGGAAAAGTTAATCGGAGTTATAATTATCTTGTAAGGGTTGTTCAGCCCAGGAGCAGGATGTTGAAGTCTCAGGACACAAGGCAACAAACCTGTACTGAATGTCAGGCAACTGTACAAGACTACAAATAATGCTTCTCACCCTGGCCAGCACAAGTCGTGTTTCTCACCCTGGCCAGCACAAGTCGTGTTTCTCACCCTGGCCAGCACAAGTAGTGTTTCTCACCCTGGCCAGCACAAGTAGTGTTTCTCACCCTGGACAGCACAAGTAGTGTTTCTCACCCTGGACAGTACAAGTAGTGTTTCTCACCCTGGCCAGCACAAGTAGTGTTTCTCACCCTGGCCAGAGAAGTAGTGTTTATTACTGCAGCAGTCGTGTGACACAAGGCCAGCCTCGCCAAGGTCACGAGGTCGACATTATTGAGTAACTTAGAGTTTAATACAAATAACCTCATACAGGTAAACATATGACTCAGCAAATTACACTGAAATTATATAGTTCATGTCAAACGCTGGTTCTGTGACGGTAGGCATTTGGTGCTACTGAAAAAAATTATGCAGTTAAATCCGTCTAGTGTATGAGACACGTATATATAAAGACGTGTGTGAGAGAGGATGGACGGGGAGGGTATGGAAAGTGACAGTGGACCAACATTCAACCTAACACTCAAGTGATAGGGACCACTCAAGTAACGAAGTATGTGGAGGAGAAGGATGGTACCTAGTGGAGAGAGAGAGTTGGGCGGGTCACAGCCCCACCACACCACACTCTTTGTTATCCTTGACTTTGCATTGTGAGACTTACCAACTGTTATGATCTTGACCAATATTAACCTACATCAAAGGTATATTTTTTTTACTTTAAAGAATTTGTATTGTTTTTGGAGCTTCGACATGGTATATTTCATCTCATCAACATTTAAACATTGGGATATTTTTACTCGTTTGGGATTTTACCATCATGGAAACTGATCTCTCCATCTCCGACTGTTTACATTATAGGCAACGTGTTTCTTAGCCTTGGTGGGAGAAGTTGCTGTAGATATTATGTTGAACTGTTAAGTGCCAGTGTTAGTGCCTAAGGATGACACTACTGGGTTTTAGTCTTTATCTGAAGTGGTCAAAAGTAGGGGGGGGGAGGAGGGGTAAGGGGGGGGTGGACGAGACTTTTTTTATACTCATTATTACACCTTAGTTTATCACCAGCTGTATGTTACATGTGGCGTGTTACCAGCAGTGTGTTACCAGTGTTGCGTTACCAGTGTAGTATTAACAGCAGTGTGTTACCTGTGTAGTGTTACTAGTGTTGTGTTACCAGTGTTACGTTACCAGCGTTGTCTTACCAATGTAGAGTTGCCAGTGTTGTTACCAGTGGTGTGTTCCCAGCACTGTGGTACCAGTGTTGCGTTACCAGTGTTGCATTACCAGTGAAGTGTTACCAGTGGTGTGTTACCAGTGTTGTGTTACCAGCAGCGTGATACATGAGTACTACTAGATGGTATAAAAAAGAACTGTTACTGTTGTGTGACCAAAGGGGAGTTATTTGAGGACATGAGATCATAAGAGACGAGAGAGATGGATTAAAGACGGTTCTTTGGTAGCATATCGTAGTATGGTAGTATAGTAGTATCAGGCCACGTATTGCTTAAGAAGTAGTTGATTACTTAAGCAACGTTAGATGATGGTGGTGGTGTGGGCCAGGTAGAGGGTGTCAGAGGTGTGTGAGGTATGTTGTTAGGAGAGCCAACCCTGCAGTGGGCTGGACTGTCTGGCACGGCGACGACGACCCAAGTTGCAGATCTTAAAGTGACACATTACTGTAAAGAACAGAAAAAAACAAACATTGGAACCAGTTAGTGTTAATAATGTTAGTGATGTTAATCCTAGGATGTTTAAAGGTTAGTTATGTTAATCCTAGGATGTTTAAAGTTAGTCTGGAGAGCTGAGGGTGTTTACAACCAGCGTGCATCTGTAATGAATAAAGTTTAGCATTGTTAGTAATAAAAACAACAGTTAAGTTATTCGTATATTTAGTAAAAACTACCAGACCAAAGGCTAGATTATTAGTATTAAGAAGGACTGAGTTAACTCTTGAGTACACGCTCCTGTTACTCAAGGGGAAAAGTTATATTGTGGGCATATGGTTTAAAATATGTACTCAAGGGGTTCATTCGTCTCAAGGGATCAAGGCAGGTCCAGGGTCACAGATCCATGGTCACAGGTCCAGGGTCGCAGGTCCAGGGTCGCAGGTCCAGGGTCGCAGATCCAGGGTCGCAGGTCCAGGGTCACAGGTCCAGGGTCGCAGGTCCAGGGTTACAGGTCCAGGGCCACAGGTCCAGGTAACAGGTCCAGGGTCACAGGCCCAGGGTCATAGGTCCAAGGTCGCGGGTCCAGGGTCACAGGTCCAGGGTTGCAGGTCCAGGGTCACAGGTCCAAGGTAGGTCCAAGCAGTCCAGGGTCATAGGTCCAGGATCGCAGGTCCAGGGTCACAGGTCCAGGGTCGCAGGTCCGGGGTCACAGGTCCAAGGTAACAGGTCCAGGTCCAGGGTCATAGGTCCAGGTCGCAGGTCCAGGGTCACAGGTCCAGGTCAGGCAGGTCCAGGGTCACAGGTCCAGGGTCACAGGTCCAGGGTCGCAGGTCCAGGGTCACAGGTCCAGGGTCACAGGTCCAGGGTCACAAGGCCAGCTGTCTGAGCATGTGTCGAGTATCAAGATGTGTCGAGTGGATGTCAAGTATGTGTCGAGTATTAAGCTTGTGTCGATTAAGTATCAAGTATGTGTCGAACAAGTGTCAAGCATGCGTCGAGCAAGTATCAATCATGTGTAGAGCAAATATCATGTAAGTGTCGAGTATCAAGCATGTGTTGAGCAAGGGCCAAGCATGTGTCGAGTAGGTATCGAGAATGGAAGAGGCAAACATAAAACTGGAGGTGGCGAAGCAAAGTGTTGATATCAGAGGAGAAAATGGGAGACTTTGGTTGATGGGATGACCAAGAAGTGACGGTAAAGATGTTGTAGGTCAAAGGTGAGAGAGAGAGAGAGAGAGAGAGAGAGAGAGAGAGAGAGAGACTTTCTACTGTACATGTATATGATATTTTACGTGCTGTTGAAATAGACGTGTCCCGGGATTGTGATAGCTAAAGGTCACGCACAGACACACACACACACACACACACACACACACACCACCCGAGAATTGCTGTTCGACACCACAACCGCATCCAGCCCATACATGCACGAACTGATCGCTATAAGAACAGCCCAGTCCCAACCATCGTAAAAATTATCAATAACTTGTAATAAACCAGTGTATTCACTCCCAGTAAACACTACTCCTTGCACTGTCACTATGTTGAACTGCCCTGTAGTTTGAGCTTTTCCCCATCTAGTTATTATATATCTTATTTATATCACTTATGTTATTTGTATATTATTTGTAATTCGAAACCCATTCCCCAATTATGTAACTGTATATTTTCAGCCTTCTGGCTGCCAAGCTCTTTCATTAAACCGTTAATTATTATTATTATTTACACCACGTGAGGTCCCTCATAACACCATTTGTGAGGGAACTACTACACCACGCGAGGTCCCTCATAACACCATTTGTGAGGGAACTACTACACCACGCGAGGTCCCTCCTAACACCATCTGGGAGGGTGTTACTACACTACGTGTTTGCTGTTCAACACCTACATTAATCTGTATGTTTATTGGATGTTCCTTTACCTTTCTCTAATGAAGCCTTTTGTCAAACTACCAATGTATGTAATATGTCATTTATGTCCAATTTATATTTTCAGCCTTCGGGTTGCAGAACTTTTTCGATAAACCGTTATTATTATTATTATTAATTATTATTATTATTATTATTATTATTATTATTATTATTATTATTATTATTATTATTATTATTATTATTATTATTATTATTATTATTATTATACACACACACACACACATTATTTTCACGACAGTAAGGACAAACAAAAAGACTATTTTTTAATTTTCTTACATAAGAATGTTTATTTATATCCCTGAAAATTATAAAAATCATTAGTCTTATTTCTAGATAGTTATATCAAATTAATATGTTACATCAAATACTGTACTGCATGTATATACATTGGTCGAGTTGTACATATAAACTACTTATAGGAGAAGCAAATAATGATGGTTTTTACGAGTCATATAAACAAGTGCATCTTAGCGGGTCTTATAAACAAATGCATTTTAGCAGGTGTTATTTTACAATTTGAATCCACATGTTTTAAGGGAATTTGCTAAAAACTAGACAATTTATTTGATTGAGAGGAAGGGAATGAAAGAAAAAACAGGAAAATCAATGAATAGCGGGTAGGGAAGAAAGAAAGGGGAAAGAAAGTTATAGCAAAGTGGCTACAGGGAGAGAAGAAGAGAAAAATAAATCAAAGAAAGAAAAGAAACAAGAAAATATGTAGTAAATGGGGACTGAAAGCCAGGAAGAGGAGAGCTAAGAGAAAATCGAAACAAAAAATGGAAGAGGGAGAGAGGAAGATAAGACAGGTTCAGGCAACGATGATAAAAGAGGAAGAAGTAGAACGAATATGAGCAATCTAGTAGGAGAATGAGGAGTGTGGTACAGACGCACAGTTTAGTATGAGGTATAAAGGTGGGAGGGACCTCTCACTGCCGGAAACAATGACGGAAAGACATAGACAGAGACTCATAGACAGAGACAGTACTTGACGGAAGGTGGGGATCCTGTCACGTATACAAACAATGAACCGATTTTAGGTATCAGAGGAACGACTTTGGCGGGGTCACTTACAGATCAAATGGGACCCAGTCTTAATAGGCCCTAACCTAACCTAACCTGGGATCTGTAAAGACCTGACTTTCTATCATCCAACAGGGCAAAGGAGGAGAAAGAATAGGAGGGAGAGGATGAGAAAGAGGAGGTGAGAGGAGGGAGATGAGAAGACAGGGAGAGGAGTAGATAAAGAATAAATTTTCAGGTGAAGGGCAAGGAAGTTTGCTAGGTAAGGTGGCTAGGGAAGGTTGTAAGTTAAGATGGCTGGGATAGGTGGCTAGTTTAACAGCTTACGTAGGGTGCCTATCTATAGTGTTTAGGTAAGGTGGCTAGATTAGGTTCTTCTCGTCGTTTAGATGATGTACAAACACCTATCCTCCTCTTGTCTATCCCAGGGGACAGAACTTGGTAACGAGGACACACGGCAACGATACTTCTGTAAACAAGTGAAAATAAACAAAAAGGCAACAAACAAGTAAAAGAAAACAAAAAATAAATCGTTAGAGCAAATTGTATGGAATAGGAAAGATTCACTAAACAGAAAATAAGGACGAAGAATGAAAATAAACACAATAATTATGTATATAAATAAAACTAAGAATTAAAGTGGACGAGGAAGAAATCATACAATAAAAATTATATAACTCAATAAAAGTAGATTAATCACCCTAACGGAAATATGAATAAAATAAAATTGAAAATGAACAAAATGACATAAAAAAGAAACAAATTAAACAAGGAGATAAAATAAAATAAAATACAATAAAATCACATTATAAACTTGGCATTACAAACAATAATACTTTACCATGAATTAAACAAAGTAACAAATATTAGAAAATGGATAAATATTAAACACAAAAATAAAGAGAAAAAACATAAGAGAATAAGTTGGAGGAAACTGCAGCGGGCCTTTTGGCTCATTCTGGTCAGTCCATTTTACACCCAACCCCTATCGCTCATATATCCATCCAACCTATGTTTGAAGCTATCCAGCGTGTTCGAGTTAACGATGTTTGGTCACTTGTTCCACTCGTCCACTACTCTATTTCCAAACCAATGTTTACCTATCTCGCGCCTAAATCTAACTTCGCCTAATTTAAAACCATTGCTACGAGTTCGCTCCTGGTTGGATAGTTTGAGTACTTTGTTATATCACCTTCGTTTAGTCCCGACTTCCATTTATACTCGATCTTATCGCCCTTCACTCTACGCTTTAACCTGTCTCTGTACTCAAGGTTCCTAATGCCCGGGATTAATCTTGTCATTCTCCTTTGAATTCTTTCTAGGGATTCTATATCCATCCTGTAGTATGGTGACCAGAACTGAACTGCGTAATCCAAGTGAGGTCTCACAAGCGCAAGATATAGTTTTAGGATAACCTCTCTAGACTTGTAACTAACACTCCGTTGTATTAACCCAAGTACTTTATTAGCCTTGTTTCGAGCTTGTAAACCCTTGAAGAGAATGAAACGAACCACTGAACGAAGCAACGGATCCCATTTTCCACGCCGTCTGTTGGAGCCTTGACATAACTAACCACATTGTTTATCATGTAGTACGCCTGGGGTGAAGATGACTCCCTTAGAACGCACTCAATGTTCTCCATACCCCCACGTACCCTGATAGGTCGATTATGTATCTCACGCACTCTTTATGTACCTTCCCCACCCCCCTTATCACCTTCCTCATGCAAACTAAAGTTCACGCGCACACACCCTGTCTACACACCCTCCACTTACTCTCCACACGAACTCTACTCACTCTCCATACACTCACTACTTACCCACACACACTCTACTCACCCTCATACACTCTACTAACCCTCACACACTCTACTCACCCTCATACACTCTACTAACCCTCACACACTCTACTCACCCACACACACTCTACTCACCCTCATACACTCTACTAACCCTCACACACTCTACTAACCCTCACACACTCTACTCACCCTCACACACTCTACTTACCTACATACACACACTCACATACTACCCACCTCTCTTCTGCTTGGGTTCGTTCAAGGTGAGTTGGGTGAGTTGAGTCCTGGAGGGCAGACCGCCAGCATCAGCCTCTCGTCCACCTCCCTGGGTTGGGTCGTCGATCGCCGCCTCCTGATCCAACTCTCCCCAGGGCATGACACGATCTGACGGCGACGTTCCTCCTACGACAGGACGAAACGACCGTAAGATCTGCTGCAGGTTTTTATTGCTGTCTTCTGGCTGTTGAGAAGGAGAAACAAATAAAGATAGTACGTGATGATTTATTATATAGATTTACCTTTGTGTATGTGTGTGTCTGTGTTTATCTGTCAATTTACTTCATATTGGTATCTGTCTATTTTTCGCGAAGAAGAGAAGGAAGAAAAGGGGAGGGGAGGGAAGGGGAGGCTCCCTGTGTTTATTGACACACGTGTAGTGGTGGACCTGACACCTGTGCGACAAGTGGTCAATGATCACAGGAGATCTGATCCGAGTTCTGTGTCTGTCTGTCTGTCTGTCTGTCTGTCTGTCTGCCTGGCCATCCATCCGTCCGTCCGTCTGTCTGTTTCAAACCTTTCAAGATACAGGATTGTCACACAACACCCATTCCCCAACACACAAACAGTTCACCTAAGAGTGCCAACACAGACACACACAAACGCTCACCCAGCACAAACAAAGAAATAGTTAGGTTGGAGGTGGCCAGAATGCAACAAACTTTAGATCAATTCAGTTCATTATTATCTCTTAAGAAAGTCTCATTATCTGGCAAGAGATCAAATTAAGAAGCGTAATGGTGAGCCTCTCTCTGGTAACTATTGTAACGATCAAAGTTAAACGAGTAATCGAGTCGTGTTTGGATGTAAAAGTAGACAGGCCTAGAACACACACACACACACACACACACACACACACACACACACACACACATGGCACATTCTCTTCTTGTAACACCTCAGCTCAACGCACTACTGGCTGGCTATTCTCGCCGCTAACCTTATGAGTAATTAGACCCCATCAAAGAACTTTAAAATGGTCAAGAATCTTACTTAAATTTTCTCTTTAATTCGGTATTCTGTTCTTGGCGCCATTAAACTTAACCTATTCTTTTATGCAACAAAAGAATATATATTTTTGGTTGCTGGTTTTGAGTTATTCTAAGAGGATATATATATAATTGGAATTATTTAAGGAATGTGTTTTATTTACAGGTTTTTGGTGATTTGAAACATCAATATTTTCAATCGCCTTTTAGTGAAGTTTGCATCATTAAGTAATTTCTTTCTTAGATATGTGTTGTCAACTTTCAGACACCCGCCTTCACTGACTTCACTGGTGGGTGTGTGTGTGTGTGTGTGTGTGTGTGTGTCTCCTTGACTTTATCCTGACTGGTAATAATAATCACTCTGGAGGTATTTCTCGCGAATGTTGTTGTTGCAGGATAATACGAAGACGACCTCCAGTTTTTATTAAAGTTTATACCAAGTCTATAATCATTTATATATCGAAAAATTAATATAGATAAACACAACACCGAATAATACTAACAATAAAATAAGACTAAAAATCTCATCAATAGTATAAGACTCAGGGAGTATAATGACCACATTTGGCCTTATATAGAAATAAATCTACTTCATTGTTCTGTAGACACACTTGAGTAAATCTTCCTAATGAGGGCCTCCAGTTGACCGGACTCCGCCTGTAGGGAAATCATACGTGGAGTTTGAGGTAGTGAGTGGAGCGTGGTGAAGGAGTCTTCCCTGTACTGTACTGGAGGCTTTACAGCTACTGTGCTGGTCTGCTGTCAAGCCTTGCTTTCAATTCACTCGAAGAATTTTTTTTGTTGTAAATATATAAGTAATTGGTCCCTAAACATGCCCACAGACGGAAATGGAAATAGTACCTGTCTGTCTGTCTGTCCGTGTGTCTGTCTGTTTGTCTCTCTGTCTGTTTGTCTGTCTGTCTATTTGTCTGTTGTTGCCAATTTTCTCTTCCTTGTAAGTATAAATCTTAATCCCTTCTCTCCCCTTCTTTCATTCTTTCTCCCCCCTCCTCCTCCTTCCCCTCTTCCCCAGCTCTCACTCTTTCTTCCTCCCTCTCCTTCTCCTCCACTTTTCTTATCCCTACTTTTCCCCATCCATCTCCTCCTCCTCCTCCTTATTGTCCCTTTCCTCCTCTCCCTCCTTCGCTTCCTTACCCACATGTGTGTGTGTGTGTGTGTGCTCACAGCCTCAAGGTCCAGACGCGCCACAAATCACGTTAAATCAAGTGAAGCAGAGAATATGAAATACCTCGGTTGTAACATCAAGACCTCCCTCCCTCCATCCCTCCCTCCCTCCCTCCCTTCATCCCTCCCTCCCTCCCACCCCATCCCTTCCTTCCCTCCCTCTCTCTCCCTCCCTCCCTCCTTCCCTCATTCCTTCCAACCCTCCTTTCTCTTCCTCTGGCTGACCTTATTATGCTAATAAAGTCACCCTAATAGAACACACTAGAGGTGGTTCTTGAGGATTGGCCACTCAGCTTCACTGTTTCTGAGGTGATTTAAAGCCCCTGTGAGGTACTGAAGCCTCTCCTCGTGTTCAGATGGTTAGGGAGGGAAGAGGGTTGGAGGGTCGGTTCCATTAACCCTTTTAGTTTATATTTTAAAAACAATTGAAATTTACCAGAAAAATTGGGATATTTATGCCTATTCAGATGTTATTTATCTCATTTATTCGATAATACTCGTCCCTCCCCTCTCCTCACTCCCCTCTCTATCCTCTTCTCACTCCTCTTTCTACCCTCTCCCTCTCTCCTCTCTCCCTCTCCCCTCCCCTTAACCTCCTCTCACCACTTATCCCTCCGCTCTCTCTCCTCTCATCCCTCACCCCTCCCCGCTCTCCCCTCTCACCCCCCTCTTCCCCCTCTCCTCTCCTCCCCTCACCCCATCGCCAGCGCTAAAGTCACACAGAATCATCTTGTAAATCAACTCTGTAAATAACTTTTGTAAACACAGATGAGTTTAATTTACATACTGCCTCAGCACAATGTTAATTTACTCCTGTGTGATTAGTTGCCTGTGTAGAGGTGAAGCGACCCGGAGAGGAGAGGAGTATATGGGTGAGTGGACGAGAGAGAGAGAGAGAGAGAGAGAGAGAGAGAGAGAGAGAGAGAGAGCTGTTCACACACATAAGAACATAAGAATGGGGGAAACTGCAGTGGGCCTATTGGCCAATACTGGGCAGTCTCGTTTACACCCAACCCCTGTCGCTCATATATCCACCACCACCACGCAAACGACTTCAAGGGTGGAGGTTGTTAAAACTCTTGCACACGCACACACACACACACACACACACACACACGCACTACTGGACGATCGTCCAGCTATGATACAATGATATGAGTTATTAAGGATATCACCTTCGTTGGTGAGCCCTGGGGTGACTCGAGAGACCGATACGGGACCGACAGGGTCATCCATAGATGTTGCACGTGTGGAGAACTACATCTAGTGCGGGAGGGGCGGCGACAGCGTCTTTCCGGCGCTGGCTCTTGTCTGCCTCAGTATGCAGTCGGGCTAACTCGAAAGTATTGACACCTTCTCGTATGGTGCTCCTCCAAGCGTTACAGTGTGGAGTAATCGTCTCCCAGATGAGGGGGTCGATTTGGCACTTTTTCAGGTTTGTCTCAAGACTATTCTTATACCTTTTCAGTTGCCCGCCGGCGTTACGTTTACTATTCGTTAGGTGACTGTAAGGTAGCTACATTGGCAATCTACTGTCGTCCATGCAGGTAACATGGCCAGTCCACCGTAGTTGTTCATGGATAATGGTAGCCTCAATGCTCCTGCAGTTGGTGTCAGCAAGAATGCTGGCATTTGTTCTCTTGTCTTCCCAGCGAACTCGGAGGATGGAACGTAGACTACGTTGGTGAAAGTTTTAAAGAGCCTTGAGGTGTTTCCTGCATATGACCTATGTCTCGCTGCCATATAGCAGGGTGGGGAGGACCACTGCTCGATATTCGTGCACCTTTGTAGATAATTTCAGCTCCTTACAGCTGAAGACACGGGTACGGGTTATGCCAAAGACTTGGGATGCACATTTGATCCGATGTTAAATTTCTTCATTGATGTCCAAGATGGTGGGCAGGTGGGAGCCGAAATACTGAAAGTGGGTGACATTAGAGAGGGTAGTACCGTTAAGCTGGATGGATGGTGGTGTGACTGAACCAGGGGCAGGCTGAAAGAGAATCTGAGTCTTTCTTACATTCACCTCAAGGCCAAAGTGTGCATACGCATCTGCGTAGGTGTTCATGCTCTCATTGTGAGCAACAAGGGTGAGGTCGTCTGCATACTGGTGTTCAGTAATGGAAGCTGCCAACGCCCTTGTTCCAGCCTAGAGTCATCTTATGTTAAAAAGACCCTTCTTCCGGTACTGGATGTCCACCCCACCGGCTAGATTGGCACTGTCACGATTAAGGAAGGCAGCCAAGAAAATGGAAAAGAGTGTTGGTGCCGGTACACACCCTTATTTTACCCCCGTTTGGATGGGGAAGAACGCAGACTGGGTGCCATTGTACAGGACACTGCCGTTTATGCTATCGTGTAGTTGCCTCACAATGGCGATGAATTTTGGTGGTTAGCCAAAATGGCTGAGGGTCTGCCAGAGGGCTTCCCTGTTGACCGAGTCGAAGGCCTGGGTTAGGTCAATGAAGGCCATGTACAGGTCACGACGCTGTTCTCTGTACTTTTCCTGTATCTGGTGGGCAGCAGAGATCATGTCAGTGGTGCCACGCGATGGTCTAAAGTCACATTGATATTCTGGGAGGAGGTTTTTCCACCACAGGAAGAAGTCTGTTTAAGAGGACTCGGGCGATAATCTTGCCAGCTATGGACAGCAGCGAAATCCCGCGGTAGTTACCGCAGTCTGATCGGTCTCCCTGTTCTTATAAATATTGACGATGGAGGCGTCTTTAAGAGCTTTGGGGATTTCCTCCTTTTCCGATATATTCTCCATGGGAGAGTGGAGACGGCTGGTAAGCAGAGGCCCTCCTGCTTTATACACCTCGGCTGGGATTCCATCAGGCCCTGAGGCTTTGTTATTTTTCATTTGTCTGATGGCAGTAGCTACCTCATCTAGGGATGGAGGATAGCTGAGGTGGGTTAGCTCTCGATGCTGAGGGACCTGCTGGATAGTCAAGACATCCACATCGGTGTTTCGGTTGAGCAGCGAATGATAGTGCTCTTTCCAGCATTGAAGGATGCCTTCTTCATCTTTAATTAGGGAGTTACCATCGGATGAGCGGAGAGGGACTGCACCATGAGTGACTGGCCCATAATTTTTTATAGTGGAATTGAAAACTTCGCTCATCTTTTGTTGATCTGCAAGTTTTTGCGTTTCACATGCTTCAATTTTAAACCAGTCATTCTTTAGATTGCGAAGTTCGCGCTGGGCCGCCGCTTTCTTCTTGCTGAAGGTATCAGCTTTGGTTCGAGACGGAGGGCTGTTCTGGCAGTCAGTTAAAGCAGCACATTTATCATCGACGAGTGCACTGATTTCATGATAATTTTCATCAAACCAGTCCTGGTATATTGTTTCGATCTGGATGAAGGTCTCTGCAAGTTTTTGCCATGACAGTGTCGAAAATACCCAATTCAGCACTAGGATTTGGGTTGTTTGTTGTCGGGTTGTTTATCAGCCCATGTTTGAGCTGCTCTCTGAAAGCATGTGCTATCGCTGGATCATCCAAACGGTTAGTGTTAAAACCTCTTCTGGAGGTTTGTTGCCTTCACCATTTTGGGGCGACGTGAAGTGAGAACTTGGCTCTGACAAGCCAATGATCAGTGTCGCAGTGGTCTCAACCACGCCTGGCTCGGAGTGATGAGGACATCTCGGCGATCTCTTTCTCTGACAATGATGTAGTCAATGAGATGCCAGTGGGTGTTGCCACGAACCCATGAACTTGTCGGCCTACCTGAAAACAAACACACACACACAAACAGACACACACATGTACGTTCGTGGGATATACGTACACTTACACCTCCAAGAGAATTTGTTTGGTTAGGGCAGGGCGGTGTGTGTGTGTGTGTGTGTGTATGTATGAGTACAAGAGTCTTAACTACCTCCACCCGTGTAGTCGTTTGCTTCGTGGTGGTGGTGGATGTGGGGAGGGGGGCCTGTACACCCCCCCAACACCCTCAGGGACATAACACAAGAGTTGAACTTCACGGAAAGAACAATGTTTTCTGGACCACAAGAGACCAACTGGATATCCCGCGCTCCTTCCTCCCACCACGGAAAGTTTGGTCATGTTAAGACGAGCATTCCGGTAACTCTCTCCCCCCATTCTCTTCCCCCATCCCATCCCTCTTAAACCCCTTCCCTCTTAAACCCCTTCCCTCTCCCACTCCCTCTTCTCCCATCCCTCCCACCCACACCCCCTCCTCCCAACCCTCCTCTCCCACCCTTCGTTCTCCCATCCCTCCCTCCTCCACCCCCTCCCCCACCCCTCCCTCCCCCCTCCCCAACCACCCCTCACTCCTCCACTCTCTCCACCTCCTTCCTCCACTCCCTCACCACTCTTCCTCCCTGCCCTACCCCCCCATGCTCCACCTCTCCCCCTCTCCCCCACTTCTTCCCTCCCTCCCTCCCCCTACCCTTCCCTTCCCCACCCTCTTCTTCCCCCTTCCTCTCCATCACCACAGGCACACAGAGGTCACCTACAGGCACCCACAGATATACACAGACAACCCCGGGGCAATCACAGTCACCCACAGGCATCTCGGGGAACGCACAGGCACCCCGGGGCACCCACTGGCACCCCAGATCTATTCATTCTTTCATTCACTACCACCAGCATCCAACTTCTCCCCACCAGCATCTAACTTCTCCCCACCAGCATCCAACTTCTCCCCACCAGCATCCAACTTCTCCCCACCAGCATCCATCATCTCCCCACCAGCATCCATCATCTTCCCACCAGCATCCATCATCTCCCCACCAGTATCCTTTGTCTCCCCACCAACATCCTACCTCCCTTTCGTCTCCCTTGAAGCTGTCTTATGGAGGACTTGTTCCCTAATCCTCTGCCAGATGAAAAAGTTTCTCGCTGGTATGATTTATATAGAGAATGATTTGGGGTATTTTTGGGTGTCGTGAGTGTTTGAATGTTTGTTTTTATGTATTATTGATGTTTTTTTGTGTGTTTTTGTAATACGTTATAGTGGTGTGTGTGTTTTAAATTCATTTCTTTCTGACTTATATTGTCAAAACGACACGCACACACCTGACTCACCTATCCAAAACAACACACACACACCTGACTCGCCTAAAATAACAACATATATATGAATCTTACCTGGTCAAAATGATAGCCATCTGGATCTCTTCGGGGCAACACACTGTCATAATCGTAGAACTGGGAGTAGTCAAGTTCACCTTCATCACCTTGCAAGTAATCATTATATGGGGTGTGAGTATCGTCATGAAGGGCCCGTTGCTGTGCTTGGTACCTCCTCACACTACGGAGTCTCTCGCCGTATCCTGGATAAGGCTGGACTCGTGCCACCAGCACCAACGATACTACTACCACCACGAACCACCTCAGTGACCACCCGTTGTTACCACCACCACCACCCTGTTGCTGCTGTTGTTGCTGCGTCCGGGAAACCATTACTATAAGAGAGAAAGAGAGAGAGAGATTTTGTTATTTCATTGTTTAGAGAGAGAGAGAGAGAGAGAGAGAGAGAGAGAGAGAGAGAAGAGTATATTGGTCAAAAGGGGAGACGAAGGGAAAATAGAAACTCATATTGCTGAAAATGAGAGGGAGCGAGAGAGAGAAAGGAGGGAGTAGGGGCAGGATTAAAGGACAGGGGAAGGAGTAGCAAAAACGAAGGGAGAAGGAATGAAAGGATGAGGGGGAGACTAGAGAGGATGGGGGGGGTTGTTGAAAAAGCGTCAGAGAGGGAAAATAAGATGGACGAAGAGGGAGGACTGGAAGAAGAAGGAATAGGAGGAGATGAAGAGAGAAAGTATGATGGAAGGTGGGTGTGTTGGTAAGAGAAGTGGAGGGGGGGTGTAGGGGATAGTGGAGGAAGTGATGAGGTAGAAATGGAGAGTGTAACAGGGGGATGGTGTTGATGGTGGAAGAGGAGGGGAAGGTATTGGAGAGAGTGGTACCGGAGGAGGAGGGGTGGAAGGAGAAGGAGTTGGAGGGAGGAGGGGGTGAAGGAAGTGGTGTTGGGGGGTCAAAACAAAAGAACATCAAGGTCCTTCAGAATGCCTCGTTGGTCAGTAGAAACACAATGCTACCCACCCACACACTCAACTGCCCCATTATGAAACAACATGAGGGCGGTCCCAGAACGGAACAATTACTAGAAGTAGTTTGGGTGGGGAGGGGAAGGGAGGAGGGGGGGGGGCTTAAAGGGCAAATTGTACCATTGTCTTGTGCTCACCTATTGTCCCAGAACCAGACCTAGTGGACAGTGGCGATGAGGACCTACAGTACTGTTTAGTATACAGAACTACAGTGGTCAGGTTAGGTTAGGTTAGGTTAGGTTAGGTTAGGATTGGTTAGGTTAGGTCAACGAACTCAACATACTGAATCACGACTACAACTACCTCAAACAGAGAAGGAACAAGAATAATGTGTGTGTGTGTGTGTGTGTGTGTGTGTGTGTGTGTGTGTGTTTAAAGGTTACGACTGTATACTCTATTACTTTAACTCATTTAATCGTCTAGGAGATTTAAGTATGGCTGTGTAATGAGAAGCAAGAGTTAATACAGTAATATATGAACGTCTCAATGTGAGAATGTTTACACACACACACACACACACACACACACACACACACACACCAATAGTAAGTCGTCATTAAGCAACAATAAGACACTTTACACCCTGCAAATGGCGTGTTAAGGAAACCACAAATCTATTTCGAGCCACTGGAAGTAAATCTAGGAAGTGCTGAGGGTGTATTGTTGTTATATATAGATGGGGGGAGGAAGGGGGAGGAGGAGGTAGCAGGAGAATGAAGGGGAAAGAGAGGAGGGAATGGGGAGGAGGAGGAGGGAGGGGGAGAAGAAGAAAGAAGGAGGAGGAGGTGGTGGTCATTGGTACTTACCTGCAATGAATGATATGAATGGCTACTAGCCACGCCGAGCCCATTGAGAGAGGGGGTGGGGGAGGGAGAGAGAGAGGGGGGAAAGAAAGAGATGAAGAGGGAAGGAAGGAGAGAGGGAGGTGAGAAGGAGGGAAGGACCACCATACATCACTCCTCTCATTCCCCTACCCAGCCTTACAATACTGGAGGAGAGAGAAGGTCTTTCTACTGGTCCAAATTACGTTGTAGGTCTTTCTAGCGGTCCTCTTTTACGAACGAGGTCTTTCTCTCACGAAGCTTCATTCTTTTACGAAATGTTTCTCTTTTGTGATGTTACCATGAGGTCTTTAACGAGACTTATGAGGTCTTAACGGGAATAAAAGTGTTAATGCAGTGGTCATCACACACACTCTACTTTATTAACCTCTCATTCCCACCGCTTTCTGGTGACGGGTGGAACCGCTAAGTGGGGAATGCCTTACACAAGCCACGTCACTATCTTTACCTTCCCTCCCCTTTATTCCTCCCCCTTACCCCTTTACGTCTCTCTCTTCCTCTTCTCCCCTTCCCATCTTACCCCCCCGTTTATTTCTCCCTCACCTATACCTTCACTTCTCCATCCACCTTTACTCTTTATCACCATCTAACTCTCCCCTCCCCCTCTCACTTTCCTCACCCCCTTACCCCTTCGCCATCCCCTCTCCCCTGCCCCTTCCCTTTCCTCTCCCCCTTAGGTCTTCCCAGAAAATTCCTCAACCCCCTCCCTCTCCCCTAGCTAAAGCTCTCCCAAATAGTAGGTGTCTGTATAAAATAAGAATGTGTGACACGAGAGAGAGAGAGAGAGAGAGAGAGAGAGAGAGAGAGAGAGAGAGAGAGAGAGAGAGAGAGAGACGATGATGATGATGATGAATAAGAAGGAGAGAAGAAGAGAGAATTGAGCCAGGATGTTATAAAAAAATAAGTTAAGGAATTTAGGGCATAACAAAAAGGATGAAAAGAAGGAATAAGAAATAAAGAGTAAAATGTAAAGAAGGTGAATTAGATATAAGACAATAATTAGAGTCATAGGCAATAGTGTGTGAAAAGGTCTTGATATTACAGGTGTGTTAAGAGTTCATGAATGGAATAGAACCATAACTAACCCCAACCGAACTTCAACCTATCTCAACCAAACCACAACCTAAACTCAACCTAACCTCAATCTAACCTAACCTAACCTTACCTCACCTTAGTCTTACCTATACGTAAAACAAGAAAGAAATATATTACAGTGAATATCAACACTGCAACACTTGGTCCTCGGCAAGATGCAATAACAGGAACATAATGTTGATATACAGTTATTTATATACTGGGACAGAGTCGATTAGGTCGTAAATAAACTTCAGAAAGTGCCAATCTTAGCGCTGGTCTGAGTCTCCCAAAATAGCCAGTATATTGCCCGGTCCTGTCGCCGCCTGGTACACTGGCTATATTTAATTACTAATCTGCTATAACGTGCTATAAGGCGCTATAATTAGAGGATATCTACCAAGGAAGGGTTATCCATCAGGCTCAATCTGTAGCCTCAGGTGTGAAAAGCCAGGTAGGTTAGCCAGATGGGAGCAGAGGGGGTGAAGAGAGGGAGTTTTTTGTGTGTGTGTTGTCATTCAAGGGGTGTTTGTGTGTTTGTTTTTGGGATGTGTGTTTGTTTACATGGTTGGTTGTGTGAGTGTGTGTGTGTTGTCATTCAAGGGGTGTTTGTGTGTTTGTTTTTGGGATGTGTGTTTGTTTACATGGTTGGTTGTGTGAGTGAGTGCGTGTGTGTGTGTGTCTGTCTTTAAAGTGAAAATTGTTTGTTTGTTTGTGTGTGGAGAGATGTTTGTTGTTTGTATGGGAAGGTGTTTGTATATGCATTAAAGGAAATGCGTAAGTGTTTGTGTGTGTGTGTTCACGTCTGTAAACGTGTGTGTATGTGTGTGTGTGTGTGTGTACGTGTACGTGTGTTAGTGTACGTGTGTCTTTGGGGATACCTACACAGCCACCAGCACGCATGAAGCCGAGGGTTCGATATCTAAGGTGACCGTCTTTTATATGTACATACACGGTATATACACACACACAGCACGGTACACACACACAGCACGGTACACACACACAGCACGGTACACACACACAGCAGGGTACACACACACAGCACGGTACACACACACAGCACGGTACACACACACAGCACGGTACACACACACACAGCACGGTACACACACACACAATTTATCACCGTCGTTTAAAGGCATAATTTACACAAACACACTACACGATTACAGTAACCTTTCTCAGTAGAGCCAGATGACCCGGAGTAAACTAGACTGTCCATTAACACAGTTTATCAGGTCAAACACAAGAGCCTGACAGCTTATGTGTGTGTGTGTGTCTCAACCCAGAGGTCAAATTGTGTTAAGAGTATTGTGTGTGTATATTGTGTAAAGTGTATTGTGTGTGTATATTGTGTAAAGTGTATTGTGTGTGTGTATATTGTGTAAAGTGTATTGTGTGTGTATATTGTGTAAAGTGTATTGTGTGTGTATATTGTGTAAAGTGTATTGTGTGTGTATATTGTGTAAAGTGTATTGTGTGTGTATATTGTGTAAAGTGTATTGTGTGTGTATATTGCATTAAAACATACTTAAATGTGTAAATGTGTAAATGACGGATAATGTAGCATAATGTTTATCGAATTTCTCCTTTAAGTAAAATGCGTAGAATGAATAAACTGTATCAGACTGCACAATGCGTAATATGCGTCTTTTACTTAACATGCGGAGTAAATTATCAAAACTGGCGCAAATCAGGTCAATACTGACAGCTCTAACGCATGATCTACTACAACGGACGAAGAATATGTTCTAATCAGTAATTTCCATCTACATATACACTAAAACTCTTATAAAATGGATATACAAGTGTTCCTCAAAGGGTAGGTATAATGGCGCTAACTAACTTTCTACTCCACTAAGTGCCAGCAGAAGTACAACACAGCGTTGCCGGTGACACTCTTGCCTTGACTGATGACTAGGGTTTATCTTCCTACCCCAGCTAATATTAACCATTGTACCCCCTCGTCCCCAACCGCCTACCCCAGCCATCCGAGACCCGGTAGGTTACGTACCCGACATACCCACTCCCATCACCTCACCCACAACCCCCACATACCCCTCCCCTCCAAGTTACATAATTCACACGGGGCAGTACACAGTCTACTGTATTCATTTCGATCTTACGTTATATTTTCCTATATCGGAGAGAGAGAGAGAGAGAGAGAGAGAGAGAGAGAGTTGGGATGGGAAACTCGACCAAATTGTAATAACTGGTAATAATGGTTGAACAGTATTATTATTATTATTGTTGTTATAAAAAAATACCATTAAGGATTATTTACCGTAACAACAGGTAATAAACCACACAACAGCGGCACTAATTAGGCCTCACATGCCTACCAGATGTACTAACACCAACGTTTTATACCGAAGCCTTATACTTCACTCCCGAGGCCTTATACTTCACTCCCGAGACCTTATACTTCACTCCCGA